AGTAGTAGTAGTAGTAGTAGTAGTAGTAGTAGTAGCCGTAGTTGTAGTAGTAGTAGTAGTAGTAGTAGTAGTAGTAGTAGTAGTAGTAGTAGTAGTAGTAGCAGTAGTAGTAATAGAAGAAGTAGTACCAATAACCGTAGTTGTAGGCGTAGTAGTAGTAGTAGTAGTAGTAGTAGTAGTAGTAGTAGTAGTAGTAATACTAATAGTAGTAGTAGTAGTAGTAGTAGTAGTAGTAGTAGTAGTAGTAGTAGTAGTAGTAGTAGTAGTAGCAACAGCCGTAGTAGTCGTCATAATCGTAATAGTACTGCTACTACTAAGCCAAGCGTGGCACGAATGGTGACGCACGCGCACGTAGCACGACTGACAGTGTCCCAACTGGTGAACAGGGGTACTAGTAGTCATAACCCAAAACAGTAGTGGTAGTGTTACACTTCACAACGGTACTCGCCTCCGCCACCGTGCACCTCGTGGTCGACTGCCAAATGCCGTCTTGTAGGTCTTTCGTAAATCTTCTAAGGGCCACTTCCTTCTATTCACGTTCCGTCGCATTCACCGCCCCCTGCTTTCCCCAAGCTCCCTGGGCAGCCCGACGCTGCCCAGGGGCTCTTCAAGGCTCCCACTGCGGTCCCACCAGCGCGACCAGTATGACCCAACATTGCCATGCAAGGCATCCAGCAGTTCCCAGTACGACCCCACGATGCACCAAATGGGCCCCAAGAGGCTTCTTGGAGAGCAGAGAGAATACGACGATCTCGAACCACCTCCAAAAACGTCAAACAAACTTAACAGCCGCAACCTAACAATTTTGTCTCTCCGGCATATCGGTAAGCGTGCTTCCAGAGGATCTCGGGGAACAACAAGAGCCTCAAGAAACATACAGTCTCGAGAACCTCCCAAGACGGCTCAAGAGGGACCCACGACAGCGCAAGAGTGCCCAACGATGGCCCAAGAATCTCCCAAGAAAGCCCCAAGAAACTCCAGAGAGAACCGAAACTACCCAAGACGGCACCCAAACGGCCAGAGAGCGCCCCGAGACGGCCCCACGGGAGCCTGAGCCGACCCCAGGACGGGCCCAGAACGCCCCATGAGCCCCACGAGGAATGGAGACAAGAGGTGTCACAAGTTACGCCCTTATGTGCTCCTTTTGAAGCGTCGCCCCACCAAGTGCCCCTCGAACGCCGCAAGGGGACGAGGAGGACGAGTAAGAGAAGGGGAGCGAGATAACAATTACGGCTATCTGGGTGCTCACGATAGGCGTTCCGTGGAAGTCTCGGACAAGGTAGGCCCCATGAGCCCCCCAAGGAATCCGCCGACCCTGTCGGCGTGTGAGAGACGTCTTTCCGTTTGAGTAGTCGTCGCCGTCGCCGTCGCCGTCTGCACTCTTCCCCTTTCCCTAGGCCGTCCTCCTCAAGCGATCCAGCCAGACGGAAATCGCACAGCACAACGTTGTAATCGAGTCGAAGGGAAGCCCCTTCCCTTGGATCCCCTCTGGGGGGGGAGCGCTGGGGGCGCCCCAGGGGATCCAGGCAGGGGGGGTCGCGGGGGGGGGGGGGGGGGGTCCTGGGGGTCGTGACCCCGACTCCTCTCCGACCAAGATGACCCAGGGGAGCCCCACGGAGCCGCACGAGGGCGAACACCAATCGAGTCGAAGGGAAGGCCCGCCTGGAGGGGTAAAGGGGCCTGCCGGGTGGTGGTGGGTTCCCGAGGCCAGCTGGGCCCACGAGGGCCCCCACGAGGGCTCGCGAGCGTCGCCGCCGTCGTCGTCGTCGTCTTCGTCGTCCCCCTTCAGGGTCGGCGGCACCAGTCGTAAGGCCTTCGCAATAGAGATGAGTGGTGCCACATACGACGTAATGCATCCTCTGCCTTCTCCTCCTCCTCCTCCACCCCTTTCTCTGTCCTTCCTCATCCTCCTCCTCCCGATTTCCTCCTCCTCCGCCTCCAAGGAGGCCCCAGGAAGATGTGGCAGGCCAACACTGGCGAATTACAGCTCAAGAAGCTCCAGCGGGCCCGCTGGAGATCGCAAACAGAGGCGAGGAGGAGGAGCAGCAGGAGGGGGAGGAACATAACGCTGGCTAGTATCAGTATCTGTGCTCGTTGGAAGAGTCTGCTACAGCGAACACCAGTGCCATCCAGCCGTTGTACTGGTAGCAGTGGCGCTCGTACTAACTAATGGCACTCACCTGGAACCAAGACAACTGCAGCCCATAGTGGTAGTGCTACTGGTGCTACTGCAGTGATTGTAGGTATGTAGTTGCTACGACTGTGATGGCCCTACTCGCCGTCGAAGGACGATGAGCTGGAGGACTGTGAGGATCGGAAGAACCATGAAGATGATGAACAAGAAAATCAACACCATCTGCAGGAACAGGAGGCGGAGGATGCCGGAGGAGGAAGGGGAGAAGATAGTATAGCGAAGTTTAGGGGAGCGAAGAGGAGCACGCGATGTACGAGCCCATCATCGGGAATTTGAGCGCCCCGCGGCCGGATGGGAGGGCCGCTCCTGACCGAGAAACCCGCCGAACGACTTGGTCGTGAAGTCTCCGATTAAGACTACGTAGCAGACCTGCGGCCAGGCGCGTCAGAACATCCCCTCGGCAACAGTTACCGCCCTCCTCTAGCAGGCGAAAAGCGGTAGAACATACACTTTTCCTCCGTCGGGGATGCCTGCTCCCCGGCCGGCTGCAGAATTCGCATGTGGACTTCTTGGCCTGTTTCGAAGCGGTGTTGGACGCCTCTTGAGCCGTCGTGGATCGTCGGAAACTCAAAGAGTAGAGGATCCCACAAACATTGAAACCCTCGGGAGCACGGGGCCGTCCTGGCGCAGCCTGGAGCCTTCGGAAGCCGTCCAAAAACCACCTGCGGCGGCCTCGGGTTGTGCTGGACTGGTCGGGTGAACTTCTGTAGCAATGTTGGGGCCACCAGCGCGCCTACGGGGCCACTTTGGGGGCCGCAAGGGGCCAACCCGGGGCCGTGGTTCCGGGCCCCCCGAGCTCCCATGCCAACCCGGGGCCGTGGTTCCGGACCCGGACCCCCAACCAAAGGCGTCCAAAGTGACCCCGAACTGACCAGTGATGGGGGCTGCTCGGGCTGATCTCGGCTTCGGCTGGACTAGCATCCCCACTCTGCATTCAACTGCTGCTCCTCCACTTCCCTTCTCACACCACATCGCCCAAGAATTGCTTTCTGGATGGGCTGGTGGGGATACACGAAGCGTGAAGACTTATGGGCCTGCCGCCGCGCCATCTCACCCGTTACATAAGCGATTTGTTGAGTGGCTGTCTTGTGACACGCTCCTGGAGCCTCGACTCTCTGAAGGGCCTCATCCTCTTTCTCTTCCCGTGTACTTGCCCCCCTCTGATACCCCCCCCCTCTCCGTCCTCGCCCCCCGTCCCGGTACCCCGCCCCCCCCCTCTCCCACTCCCCTGCCTCGCCCGACAGCCGTCAACCCCCGCGGATGGGAGACCAGGGTAAACCACCCGTTCAGGAAGATCGTGGTGTCGATGATCCAGGCAGTGCCCTTGCCGAAAATGCCTCCGCCCACCGAGGCGGCGCGCCCGTCGCGCACCCGCCTGCGCGAGCCCCCTCCCACTGTCCAGGCCTGAGCGTCGCGAGGATAGCATATTTGCCACAACTGCTAGAGCCTGAACACGACGATGTCTTCCACTCAACTTGTGCACACGTGCTCACAAGAGCATGCGCAGTACACCATACAAGCCGGCAGTCACTTGTACCGGGTAGACAGCACCGCATAGTGCCAGGCACAAGTGCTTGGGGCCCAAGCTGGTAAATATTGTTAGACGTGGATTTGCCTAGTCAAACACATTTGTGTATCATGACATTTTTAATTGCCGACGAAGCATCGGCAATAACAACAAGGCCCACTGTCTTTGCGCGCCTTGTTGACCATTTCCTCGAATACCAACACGATGACACAGGCGGCGCATGAGAAAGAAAATACGTCCCGCGAAACAGATTTCAACGGGCGGAGACACAATACCACAGGTCACGGAAACTCCTGGCGTCAACTGTGCAGAAAAAGGATGATTCAAAAAGCCGCAGACATACAGCAATGTGGGGACGCGAACGTGCGGAATAACTCGCGGTTCCCCCAATCCTTCTCTCAACCTGGAATATAACATATAACGGCCACCCTCCATCAACGACATACTTGACGATTCACAGCATTCGTGGCTCGAGGGATGGCGTACAATCGCAAACCACAATCAACTTAATGAAACATGTAACGCACAAATTCACTGGAAATTAATATATGCACATACATACCAGAATGAAACAGGGCAACCGACAACGGAGTATTCAACCCATGCGTGCGTGTGTGTGTTCTTGTCTGTGTGTGTGTGTGTGTTTGTGTGGGGCCATCTCTGTTTAGCGGCCGATCAAGCTCGACATCTCTAAGCTCTCCGGTGCGGCCTCACAAAATGTTGAACTTCTGCTGAACGCGTCCCGCCCGAGAGGGCTGCGAGCCGCCAACTGCGACCCATCGGCGCGCCAGACGAAAGGCAAAAGCGTGCGTATGTGTGTGGGTGTGTTACGCCGCATGATCGTGTGTGTGTGTGTTTCACCGCGTGATCTGGGCCGGCCTGCGCGCGTCTCGATCTCGCTCGACCTGCACTACGCCGCGCCGCTGCGCCGCGTGGCCGCGACGCCAGCAGAGTGTGCGTGTGTGTGTGAGTGTGTGTGTGTGAGTGAGTGAGTGTGAGTGTGAGTGTATGTGTGTGTGTGAGTGTGTGTGTGTGTGAGTGAGTGAGTGAGTGAGTGAGTGAGTGAGTGTGAGTGTGAGTGTATGTGTGTGTGTGTGTGTGGGTGTGTTTGTCTGTGTGCGCCTCGCTCTTCACCTTCGCCCTTCGACCTGCCCCTGTCCCGGCTCTGGCCCCCTCCCCATCTCCCCGGCCTCACCCCCTCCCGTCTCTGCCCGGTTCCTGTCCCTCTCGCCCCGTATCGCGTCCGCCATCCGCTCTCCCCGCCCCGGCCGCTGCCTCTCCTGTTGAGCGTCGCTGAATGGATGGCGACACGCTGGGGGGGGGAGAAAGGTGCCCTTTTCGGGCCCTGCCTGCACGCCCCCCCCCTTCTGGGCAGGGGGCCTTCAGGGGCCCCTTTTGCGGCAGCCCTCGCTGCCCCCCCACTTCTCGCCCCCCCATTGCGCGACGCCCATCCTCCTGGCCCCTCTGGCCCCGCTCCGGCTGCCGCTCGCTGGACGAGGCGCGTGGCCGCCGAGGTACAAACGTGCGCCCCTCTCCTCTCCTTCGCCCCTCGCCCGTGGTCGCCCCTTGCGGTGGTGCCTGGCGACCGTGCGCGCATCCCCGCGCGCCTTGCTCCTCTGACCTCCCCCCACGCCCCCGCTCTTGCGGAGTGGGCCAGGTAGCCCCGGGGGCCTTTGCCCCCCTTGCCCACCCCCTGCCATCTCTCGGCGCTGCGCCCAAGGGGAGAGGCGGCGGGCCTGCTCAGGAGGCTCAGGCCCCAGAAGTTTGCAGACGGCGGGGTGTTCGGTGTACGTGTGCGTGCGTTCGCGTGTGATTCCGCACGTGGACCTTGAACTACACGTTTCTGCTGCGGTGTTCGTCGTGGTGCCAGCTGCTGCGACTTGCGTCGTGGCGCCCAATTCGCCCGCCTGGCCTGTGCAGCGTTGAGGATAGCGCCAGCTGTCTACTCTGTCATCCCCTGCGAGGGGGTCCAACGACGATGTGGAAAGCGCTATTGGTTCTATGTTTGAGGGCGGGGACAGCACCCTGGGACCCACGGGCCCACTATATCATGAGCCTGGTCATGACATTATCACAACCGCTAATTACCGCAGCCCCATGCGCTCAGTGGAGCATGGGATGCAGCTCTCGGTCGACACGTACTGCTTCGCTACGGACGTGCATCGTCTTCGAGAGCATCGCCGAGGTACACCAGAACGTGCAGCAGGAGTACGTTGCTGAGCCCTGATCACCGGATGCCCTACGACGGTCTTGTCTGGAGACGCAACTGGCCCAGCACCCCAGCGATGCCGCAAGACAGCGACTACAACAAGCCCTCGTCGAGAAGGTTGTCCCTGTTGGTCTTCTCTTTATGAGCTTGTGAATCTCTCTCTCTCTCTCTCTCTCTTCTTCCGCGACAACCGTAATGTTTCGCAACTCGACGCTAAGAAAACCGTTCTCTTCTACACCCGGAACTCGGTGTGGTGTCAACGAAGCCGGCGACGAGGACTGGCTGCCCGTATCCACGTGCAGGGAGTGTAAGTTTCTCAATTATTGTTTGCGTTTCTACTGCAATATGCCCTTTGGGGTTCCCCCCCGTGCCCATTATATTGCTCGGCAACATGATGACATGGGTACTGTCTTCGTCCCGTATTTTCTGAACATGTCTTTCGTGATGTGCTTGATCTTCCTGTGATGCGTTTTCAGGTTGTAACCTCCGTCGGTCGTTACAGCTGAAAATCTAGACGACGATGCTTACTCTTCCATGCGAAGCGAGTCCTCTGTTGGCTCAACGCGTCAAAGGACTCCCAAGCGCACGTTTCACGCTCATTGCGTCTCACCTGGCTTCGGCCCTCTGCAGCACGCGAGGTGTCATGGTTGAGGTTTTGATAGGTTTGCCTCCAAGCTTGCCTGAATCCAGCCTGGTAATGCGAACCACATTCACATTGTGTCGTGGATTGCATTTCCACACTGCGCTTGTGATCGTTCCGTTCACTACACCACAGACCCGACGAATGCATCCCGTAACGCAACGCTTCTGCAATCTTGTTCCCGTGCTCCGCCGATAAATCTATGAAGCATCCCCACGACATCGTCTCACGGCAGACGGAAGATGTTCCTGTCCGTCGCGTTTGTGATTGGCACCACCCCTATCCGTGCAGGATGGCAGGGTATAGCTTTCTTTGCACTTACCTTCGCCTTTGGATGGCTACTATGCCGTCGGTGTGCAACAGGTACACGTGCGCATCCTGATCATCATCCTCCTTCCCCCGCCTCCCACCCACCCGCTCTCACATCCTCTCCTTCTTCTTCTCCTCCTGCCCCACCTCATGTACATCCTCCTCCCCCTCTGTCTCCCCTTCCTTCTATCCCTCATCCTCGTCCCCCTTCCCTTGAAAAAGGCGAGCGCAAACATCCAATCAAGCCGAAAAGGCTCGCAGAGCTCGGCCGCCTCACGTTCCAAGTGATGCAGCAGTAACCGATCATCCAGTAAGAGCCTCGGCAGAGAGCTGCCGAGAGAGGTGAGGAAGAAGCAGCGGGAGTGGGGCGGGGCAGGGGGCGGAGCAGGAGGGGGAGCTGGAGGGGGCGGTGTGGGATGAGCAGGATTGCGGCGGAGAGCAGAAGAGGAGGGCCGATGTTGATGAGGGCTGAACCGGGGCCGCGGACGGTGAGGAGGAAGACGACGACGACGATGCGCGGGAGCATGTGTGCATACATCTGTCAGCCAGCGTGGGCCCCAAACAGTGACTCCTTGCAACCTATGTGGTGCAGTCTAGGTGGTACAGTGAATGTGGTGCACTCTAGGTGGTGCAGCCCATGTAGTGCAATCTATGTGGTACAAAGCAATGCAAGACAATGAGAAGCAGTGCGCAGCAATGCCACGAAATGCACAACAATGCAACCCAACGCACGGCAACGCAAGTCAATGTGAAGCAGTGCAAAACAACGTAAATACAGCAATGCAAATCAATGGAATGCAATGCACAATAACGCAAAGTAATGCTATGTAGCGCAGGCCCAGACGGCGACGGGGCGGTGACGGCAACCACATATCCGCCAGACCGACGGGCAGACCCAGAAGACGGGCGGCGACGAGGCGGCGACGGCGACCACATAGCAACTATACCAACAGGCAGGCCAAGATCCTTAGACAAGAAGTAATAATCCTTAAGTACAAACGCTGTTTCGGTTGTATGTATGTCTGTCTGTCTGTCTGCCTGTATGTATGCATGTCTGCATGTATGTCGAAAGTGAGAGGGGTGAGATCGAAACGGAACGGAAAGCCCCCCTACCGGGAAATCGATTTCGGTTTCGTGTTCGTGCGTGCCGTGCGCGCGGGCGAGGCGAAGCTGCGTGGGCGGGCGAGAGGAAAGTCTCCTGTGGCTGAGGCGCGGCCGGACCAAATGTGTCTCTTCCGGGCGGCCGGTGGCGCGCGGTGTCCCGCCGGTGTCGCGCTGGTGTCCCGTCGGTGTCCCAGTGGCTGAGGCGCGGCCGGACCAAATGTGTCTCTTCCGGGCGGCCGGTGGCGCGCGGTGTCCCGCCGGTGTCCCGCTGGTGTCCCGTCGGTGTCCCTGTGGCTGAGGCGCGGCTGGACCAAATGTGTCTCTTCCGGGCGGCCGGTGGCGCGCGGTGTCCCGCCGGTGTCCCGCTGGTGTCCCGTCGGTGTCCCGATGATGATGTGGATGATTATGATGATGATGGTGATCACGATGATGGTGATGATGATGATGGTGATGATGGCGATGATGATGATGATGTTGGTGTTGTTGTTGATGATGATGATGATGACGTCGATTGTGAGATCGATTGTGACATCGATAGTGAAACCGAATGTGAGATCGATTGTGAGATCGATAGTGAGATCGATTGTGAGATCGATAGTCAGATCGATTGTGAGATGATGATGGTGATGATGGTGATGATGGTAATGATGGTGATGATGGTGATGATGGTGATGATGATGATGACGATGATGATGATGATGATGGCGTCGATTGTGAGATCGATTGGGAGTTCGACTGTGAGATCGATAATCAGATCGATTGTGCGATGCTGATGGTGATGATGGTGATGATGGTGATGATGGCCATGATGGTGATGATGATTGTGATGATGATGACGACGTTGATGATGATGATGTTGATGATGATGATGACGATGATGTTGATGGTGATGTCGATGATGATGATGATGACGACGTCGATGGTGATATCGATTGTGAGATCGGCCACTCGTCGATAGCGAGATCGATTGATAGCGAGATCGATAGCGAGTTCGATAGCGAGATCGATAGCGAGATCGATACCGATGTCGGTGAGATCGATAGCGAGATCGATTGAGTGAGACGTTGGTTCCCCCTCCCCCCTCACCTCCTTATCAGCCGCAGGGTGGTCGTATAGGTATTTATGTATGTATGTATGCATACATGCATGTATGTATGTATGTATGTGCGTATGTGTGTGTTTACGCGTCTTAAGCATATGTCATGCGGCATAGATCTCCGAAACGCCACACTCGATGTGCCGCATCTTAGAATACAGCTCTGCTGTCACGCCTGCTACACGTCACCGTGCTCCCTGGCATGCTGAGGCTTGGTAGAATGCCATGGGCTGTCTCTCGACACATCCTGAGCCCAATGCGAGCAGCCAGTCGCGTGCACCGCCCCCCCCCCCCCCAAGAGGCTCGCTGGACGGCCCGACAAGCCTTTGGGACTGCCCAGAGCGTGCAAGATGCCCAACGTGGCTTCCAAGAAAGCCCAGGCAAGCTACCAAGGCCGCCACGATAACCCAATATGCTTCTATTACGGCCCAAGACGGCCCTAAGACTTTCGAATATTGCCCCGAAACATCTCGCGAGGCATCCAATACGGCCCAAGAGGGCTCCAAGAGGAGTTCCAGGAAAGCCAGCAAATAATTGCTCTCCCTGCGGTTGTTGAATGAGATCTGTTCTCTCGCCTTTTCTGGGTTCTGTTTGCCCAGGACGGCCTCCAGGATAATCAACCCCAATGCGGCCTAGGAGGCCTCCATGGCAACACTGGAGACTCTCGATGCCTCAAGAAACTTGCCAAACAGCTCGAAAACAGCCCAAGAGCCCCCCACGACGACCCGTCAAGGCCCCAAGGCGGGCCCTGGCTGGTTCTATGGTTATCCCGTGGTTGTCCCTCCATTGTCCCGTCTGTAGGTGGAGCCGATAGATCAGTAGTGCTGTCGATGCAGAGAGTAATAGTGACATCGGTAGATACATGATGTGACCGATGGGCAATGCGACCGATTCACACATATTTGTAGCGTGCCGAGACGGCCCAAGAGCGCCACAGGACGTCCAATATAGCCTCAAGACGGCCAAGAGACCCCCAAAAGGGTTGCGACCCCCCCCCCGAGAAATCCCAAATGAAGCCTCCAAAAAATAATGCGATTCATGTTCTGTGGTTATCCCTTGCTTGTCCAATGGCTGTTCCGCGGTTGTTCCGCGGACTTCCCGTGGCTGCCTTGCAGTTGCCCCCTACTTGTCCCGTGGTTGTCCTGGGGTTACCCCATGGTGGTTGCCCGTGGTTGTCTCGTCAATCAATAAAGATCGCAGTCTTCATGCGCAGATTATGATTTATGTGTGTATGTATATGAAAACACGTGTATACAGACTTGCACAACTATACAGACATATTGCTTTATTGATAATGGGAAACATAGATCGGCACATTGTGAGACAACCAAGTCGTGAGACCACTTGGCCTATCCGATGGATAGGGAGGTCGTTCTACATAGCGAGCCTGATGCGAGGCCAATCGAAAACCGAAAACTGAGTCCCTCCTGCTGGGCAAACTCCGTATCACCTAAAAGGTGGTCTTCTGATTGCACCGATGACTAGGTCAATCGGCCGATTGACAATTATTCAAAATAAGAGACGCGGTTGTCCCGTGGATCTAGCGTGGTTGTCCCATGGTTGTGCTGTTGATGTTGTTGTCGTCGTCGTCGTTGCTGTTGTCATGTTGTAACTGCCCCGCGGATGTCCCGCGGTTGCCCTGTGGTGTTCCGTGCTTGTCCTGTCGGTGTCCCGTGGTTGTCGCGTGGTTGCTCGTGGTTGTCCTGTGATTGTCCTGTGCTTGCACCGTCTATACACGTCGGTCGACAATGGGATCGATGGCTAGATAACGAACTAGGTACATCTATCTACTGCTAATAAAATCGGTAAATGCATGGTGAGACCGTCAGGTCGTGAGACTGGTAGACAGACGGACACTGTCTGAAAGATAATGAGGTGGCCTGGAGGATTGATGTTGGTACCCGTACATTGACCGTGGGACTGACCGATAGCTATATAAACCACCATAACGATCGCTGCATTGACTGACAGTGATGTCGACATGGAGAGATATCTATTATATGTACATGTTACTTGCACGTGCATACATGTGGTTGTCCCATGAATATCCCATGGTTGTCTCGTGCTTGCCCCGCGGTTGTGCTGCACCTGTTTGATGGTTGTGTTGTGGTCGCCCCGCGGTTGTTGCGGTTGTTCCACTGCTGCCCTGTGGTTGTCCCGTCGATGTCGCGTGGATTCTGGCTGCCCCTCAGAGTCACAGATAGATAGTGAGACGATTGGCAGACAGCGAGATGGATGAACATTTTAAACATGAGATCAAGATATCATGGGCAGTGCAACTGGTAGGTACATGTTGATTATGATAATAATTGAGAATTTGCGAGACCGATTCATGGTGGTGTTGACCGGTCTTTTGATAGTGCGATCGACCTTGCTAGTGATATCGACAGAAACTTCTATCCACATTTTGAGATAAAACAAATGACATCCACCGACCCTGTCGGCGTGTGTGAGGGGCTTGTCCGTTCAAGTCGTCATTTCCGTCATTCGTTGGTCGTCGTCTCTGTCGTCCCCTTTCCCTGCTTCTCCCTTTCCCTGGGCTCGTCAAAGCTCCCCCCTTTTCCAGGGACCTCCTCAGCGCGCCAACCAAAGCGATGTTGAGCAACGTCGTAATTGAGTCGAAAGGAAGCCCCTTCCCTTCGATCCCTTCCCCGCCGGGGGTGGTGGTGTCGGGGGGGGGGGTCCGGGGGGGGCGGGGGGTCAGATACGACGCCCCCCTGGGAAGTCCTGGAGCCCCCAAAAGCCCCAAGACGCGCCAAGAGTGCCCCAAGAGGCGCCAAAGACAGTCCAAGAGAACCCCGAATCGCCGAACGATCTGTCCAAAACGCCTTGACGGCCTCCAGACGGCCCAAGAGGCCTGCAAAGCGCCTGAAGAGGCCTCCAGGAGCTTTCCCACGAGCCCCAAGAGGCAAAAATCATGAATGTCCTATACGTTTTTTACAGATGTTGGCGTTCTTGCCTCTTCCGCTTCCCGACGCGCCAAGACGGCCCAAGAGGCCCCCAAGATCGCCCCGAGACGGCCCAAGAGGCCACCAAGAGGGTCCCCCAACGGCCGAAGAGGGCCCCAAGACGGCCTCCAAGACGGTCCAAGAGGCCCCCAAGATTGCCCCAAGACAGC